TTGGGGTGACATCAGGACTGCTAGGGAGCTGCGCACTGCCCTGCAGGATTCCTTCTCAGTTGAGCCAAAGAATCCAGGCTGGACGGCAGCACCCACCAAGAGCGGCCGGCCGGGACACTCTGTCTGCCGTTCTGGAAGGTCAAGGCCAGCAGCTGGGCTCCTCCTCTTGAGGAAGCTGAGAGCCCTCCTCTGGGTTTTACTGATTTTGTCATCAGGACTGCTAGGGAGCTGCGCACTGCCCTGCAGGATTCCTTCTCAGTTGAGCCAAAGAATCCAGGCTGGACGGCAGCACCCACCAAGAGCGGCCGGCCGGGACACTCTGTCTGCCGTTCTGGAAGGTCAAGGCCAGCAGCTGGGCTCCTCCTCTTGAGGAAGCTGAGAGCCCTCCTCTGGGTTTTACTGATTTTGTGGTCTTCGCTGTTGTTTCTCTTCTGCTTCCCCTAGGATCCGGTTTCCCTTTGGGGGAAGCTTTCGGGGTTTTATGTTTTCTGTCACATGCACCAGCTTCTGTTCAGTTTGTCCCAGATGTGGCTGAAATTTCCAGTCCCAAGTCCCCGTTCCCCTTGGCTCTGGGGAGCCTTCGTCTCGTCCCCTGTGGCCAGCTGGCCTGAGAGCCCGTCTTGGGGGCTCCGTCTCCCAAGTCTCCGTCACGGGCCCCCTCTGCCGTGGTGCACGGGTCTGGGGCCTCCTCCTGACCCAGGTCCCCTTTTTGCGTCTCTGTCTCCCCGCACACACTCCAGAGCGGCTCCGCGTGACCGGCACCATCCGGGCTCCTTCCCCTCACCTCCGGGCAGCAGCTGCAGGCTGACAGGGTCCTCCGTGCCCACGGTGTCTGCCTGGAGGACCAGGCACAGATCCGGGCATCACCCGGTCCTCAGCCACCCCCATGCAGTCCACGGGCTGAGCCACTCTTTGTTTCAGCCACAGGAATCAAGGGCACCTGGGACTCGGCTCACGGCACCAGCAAGAGGAGGGACGGTAACAAGGAAGGGGACGGCAACAAGGAGAGGGACAAAAACATGGAGAGGGGACGGCAACAAGGAAGGGGATGGCAACAAGGAAATGGGACGGCAACAAGGAGGAGGAAGGCCGCTGGAGCCTTGAGCAGGAACAGCACAGCCTGGCCTCATATAAAAGCCCATCACCCAGAGCACCTCACACACCTCACTCACACTCACACTCACACTCACACACTCACTCCCAGCCCAACCCCGCCATGGCCGCCTCCACCATGTCCGTCTGCTCTGAGCCCTGGCAGGTGGACGACTGCCCAGAGAGCTGCTGCGAGCCCCCCTGCTGCGCCCCCAGCTGCTGCCAGCCCAGCTGCTGCGCCCCGGCCCCCTGCCTGAGCCTCATCTGCACCCCAGTGAGCTGTGAGCTGCTCCTCCTCCTGCCAGCCGTCCTGCTGTGAGTCTGTCTGCTGCAAGCCCGTGTGCTGCACACCTGTCTGCTGCAAGCCTGTCTGTTGTACCCCCGTCTGCTCCGGCGCCTCCTCCTCCTCCTGCTGCCAGCAGTCTGACTGCCAGCCAGCTTGCTGCTCCTGCTCCCCCTGCCAGCCATCCTGCTGCGTGCCCATCTGCTGCAAGCCCGTCCGCTGCACGCCCTCCTCCTCCTCTGTGTCCCTGCTCTGCCGTCCCATGTGCGGACCTGCCTGCTGAGTGCCTGCCTCCTCCTGCTGCTCCTTGTCCTACCAGCCACCCTGCTGTGAGTGTATCTGCTGCAAGCCCATCTGCTGCCCACCTGTCTGCTGCAAGCCTTTCTGCTGCACACCTGTTTGTTGCAAGCCTGTCTGTTGTATCCCCGTCTGCTCTGGGGACTCCTCCTCCTCCTGCTGCCAGCAGTCTGACTGCCAACCAGCTTGCTGCTCCTGCTCCTCCTGCTAACCCTCCTGCTGCGTGCCCATCTGCTGCACACCCTCCTCCTCCTCTGTGTCCCTGCTCTGCTGCCCCATGTGCAGACCCGCCTGCTGAGTGCCCACCTCCTCCTGCTGCTCCTCCTCCTGCAGCCCAGCTGCTGCTGCCTGTCCTCCTGCATGTCCCTGCTCTGCTGCCCCGCCTGTCCCCACCCAGGCTGCTGCCTCCTCTTCCTGTTCCAGAAGTCCTGCTGCTGACCTGCTGGTCCCACAGGGCTCGGCTCTTACCTCAGGGCTCCCTCTGCTGGCCACTCGATCACCTACAGGGCTCCTCGCCTACACAAATTTGAAAGTTCACGGCCTCACCCTGAATGGTCAGGGCTTCCCATCGCTGCCAGGACAGGCCACGTGAGCAGGACCAGCTGGTGGTGGCCTGTCCGCTGCTGCAGACCATTGCCGGCCTCTCTCTGCTGACTCAGCTGCTGTCCTCCTTCCCTCTAAGTTTCTTGCCCTGTGATCAATAAATCACCTTCTGGCCTCACTCATTGCAGCTTCCTGTAACAGCTGGTTCTTTCTCCTGCAAACACAGCTCTGGCTTCGCTGCCCCCAGACCAGCTACATCCAGGGACCACCACGGACCCCAGCCACCCTGCAGTCCCCGGGGGCGTTAGAGTCCAGGACACACACAGCAATTTCTCAGGTGCCACATCTGGCCAGTGGCCACCCAGCAAGGCCTCCATGGGGAGAGAGCCCTGCCACCAGGCCAGTCTAAGGTCACATGGGCACAGCAGGGAGCAGGACAGGGTTCTGGACACCACTGACCCAGGTACCTCTCTGCCAGCCAGCCCCTGAGCAGGGCCCTCCAGACTCCCTGGATCCCCAAGCTCCAGCCACAAGTCCCCCGACTGCTGAGGCAACCAACAGCAATAGTGCCCCCAGGTCTGGCCAGAGAAGGCAGAGGTCCGGGGACAACCAGGCCCCAGGTGCCCCCTGCTTACCCCCCGTCTGGCTGCTGGTCCCACCCCTACCCCCACCCCCACCAGTGCCCTCCTGGCTCTCAAGATGGGTGAGAGAGGAATGGGTGAGAATAGGATTTCCTGGGCTGCAGATCTGGGAGGCTATGACATCCCTGAGCTGGAGGGACTTTACCACACATCTTCCGCCAGGCTTTTCCACTGCCCAAAATGAGCGTCCCCAGGGAGCTGCTTGGAGCAGAAGGGGCCCCCCATTCTGGGCTCTGGGTGCAGACAACCCAGGCTCTCCTTCTACATGGGGGCTGTGCAGTGGGTGCGTCCTGACCCCCAAGCTCTGGGAGCCCTTCCTACCAAAGGGGGAGGCAGAAGCTGGCCCTGTGGTCTTCGTCTGTGGTCTTCGTCGACTCCGCAGACCAGGGAGCGTCCGGCCCTGAGCCTGCTTCTGGGCCCCAGCTGAGCAGGGGACCCCGGGCCCTGCACAGACTTGGCCCCAAAATGTACAGGGCAGACACCAGGGCTGGCCGGGAAGCAGTATGGGGAGGTGGCTCTGAAACGCTTCTGGAAACATGAAGTGAGGTGAGAGGCTGAGGCATCAGAGAGGGTGGACAGGGCCTCAGGAGGGTCTCGGGGCGGACATTCTGAGAAGCCCGGCATCTGTGCTGCTGCGGGGCTTTCTCTGCAGATCTGAGATGGCTGCTGCAGGGTGTGGGGTCCTGGCCTGGCCTGGGGACCCTCCCAAGATGCTCCACCACCCCCACAGACCACAGTCACACCTGCACCAGACGCCACGGAAAGCACACTGAGAGAGGGAAAGGAGGCTGCGTGTGGGGTCCCCACACACGCCCTGAAGGTCCACCCCGTGCACACACACAGTGTCCCCACTACTTTCAGCAGCCTGCAGACGGGCCCTCCTCACCTTGGCCATCTCAGGGGCTGCAAGCCCATCTGGCTGCCCAGAAGCCAGGCTCCAATGTCTCTTCCCTTTCTCTCCACCTGCAGCGGTGGAGCCCTGGACATCGGGTGGGGTTCACCAAGCACCAACCACACACAAAGCCCTCTCTGGGCCAAAGCCTCCCCAGCCACCTGGGGCAGGACAAAGCCCCTGCTTGCCACGCAAGGACAGAGACACACGGAAGATGCCCCAACCCTGGCTTTCACAATGGAGCTGGGGGAGGCTTGTGGAATCTCAGCGATGCCCTGGGGGTGTCTGAACGTTTGGGAGGAGCTTGGGCTCCTCAGGGCCACTGTCCAGGACCATGTCCCCAGAGGGACCAGACAGGGTGGAAAGGGCACGTCCACCCCGACCTCCTTGCAGGGGTTTCCTGGGGCCACAGTGTGAGGGGTCTTCTGTGCAGGGGTGGCTCTGGGGGGCCAAGCTTCTGCATATGGAGGCCGTTTATTTAAGAATACAAATGAATTTTAAAAAATAAATAAAAGTGACAAGAAACATCCCCTCAGCCCTCAGAGTGGGGGTCCCAATGGCCAGGACCTCCAACCTCCAAAACTGCCCAGCCAGTGAGGTGGATCTTTCTGCCCCGGCTCCACTGGGGATCCCTGAGGCAGCACTGGTTCCCTCCTCTCAAGAGAACTTCATGGCACTCTGCCTGGGGACCTCATCAGGGACAGTGCTCCTGGGACCCGGACAGTAGCCGAGGGGAGGCCCAGAGTGTGCCCCGGGCCACATAGCCAGGGCTCTCATGCTTGGTGGCCGGGCATACCCTGCCCAGCAGGGCCTCCACCCACAGAAAGCCTTTGCCCGCCTGTGCCCCTACCCTGAATGTGCACCCCTTGATCACCCAGGCCCCTGGGGAAGCACCGCCTTCGAGGTGGAGACCTTTGGTCCTCATTCCTGGCACAGCTACAGGTGGACCCAGGTAGGCCAGGCCTCCCCAGACGGGCGGCGAGGAAGGAGGCTGAGGAGGGGTGTCCCATCCCGGCAACAGAGGATCGGCAGCACGGGAGTCCCGCCCATCTGACCCAAAGGCAAGGCTCTGCCTCCATCTCCTCCAGCCCCTTGCACAGTGCCAGTCCAACACTGATCCCCATCAGGGTCTGGCTGTCCCCCAACAGCTCCCACAAAGTCCTGAGGGACGGGAGGCCAAGTCACACAGAGCGGGCAATGCCCAGAAGAAGATGCCTGGGGCCGCAGGACCTCATGCAGCCACGTGCACCTGCTCCCCAGGACACAGCCCGGCCTGGCACTGCCATGTCCCCCACCCCTGTCATGAGGGTGTTGGCAATGCAGCCGTGTGACCGAGGCAGCTGGGCCGTTCAGTACCCGGCCAGAGCAGAGAATGATGCATTCCTGGGGTCACCCAGCTGCCCGCAGATGAGCTGAGACCAAGCTCAAAGAGGGCCTGGGACGGGGTGTGGCTCAGAGTGCAGTGCTTTCTAGCACTGGGGCCTGGGCTCCATCCCAGCACTGCCAACAGAGAAGGCCTGGAATGCACAGGCATCCACCCAGAACCCCGCCAAGCCATGGCACCCCTGGCCAGCAGGTGCCCCCCGCTCCCCAGCTCTGTCTGCTTCCTCTGTGCACCCAGGGTCACTGCAGCACCCACCGCCGCGGCCCCTGCAGACCACCCCCCCCAGCCTGTCTGAGGTGAGGCTTGGACGTCAGCATTTGCACCTGTGTGGGGACTGGACCCCAGCGGAGGGAGGACGGGGCAGAGACCCTGCTCGCATTCAGCTCGCTTCCGGCCTCCCACTGGCCTCCCACCAGCCACACCATCGCCAGAAGGCCCCTGGAGGAGGCGTGCTGGGCAGCAACATGCCCATCCGTGGGGGCAGCCCAGCAGCACAGTCACGCCCAGTGGGCCTGGTCTCAGGTGTCCGGTGACCCTGCCAGTCTCCTGCCCTCCTCAGCCCTCTGAGCGGGGCTCCTGCTTTCTGGGTTTTAGAAAGCCAAGCAGGAGAGGCACCCCCGGCCCACTCCTCCCAACTGTCTCTGTCCCGAGCCTCAGGTGGAACCGTGGAGCCACTGCGGCCTCCAGTTATGCTCAGGCTCAAAGCTTGTGCCTCGCCCTGGCTGGGACACCTGGAGGCCCAGCGACCACACTGACAGTCACCCCATCTACAGACTAAACGCCAGGAAGGGAGGGAAGGGCACGCACTGGAAGTCACCAGCATCTGGCTCCAGAGGAGGGGATAGAGCCCATGATGGCTGCCCGCCATGGCCCCATGGCGCCCCTCTGTGGTCACAGACTCGCGCCTCCACTGCACCTGCCCGCTGCAGCTGTGCACAAGTGCCCTGGTGTCACCTGGGGGCTCTCTGAACCCGGAGGAACTAAAGCCCCTGTGAAAGCGAGGCAAAGCCCTCGAAGGCCTTGGTGCGAGTCTTGGGAGCGTTCCAAACTCAGCTCCCTGTTGTTTACCTGGCTTTCATCTTTCCTCCCTAGATTGCTGGTTTATAACTGGGTCATCTTGTAACTATTCGAAACACACCTCCAGGGCAGAGGGGCGGGCTTTATAAATAACCTTTATTAGGCTTATCCAGCCGACTCCGTGCCCGGCACTGAAGGGAACCTGAACAGACGTGCCCGTGACTCATCCCTCCCCGAGGACAACCGGGGCACCATTCGGGGTCCCTCTGAGGCATGGCCAGGCGCCCATGGGGGCCCTTGGGGGAGGACACAGGCTGGCCTGGGGCCTGCGGTCACCCGAGGCCAGGGAAACTGGTGTTGACAGTGGCCCGGGCAGGGCAGCTCAGGGCAGGGGGGCAGATGCAGCCCCCAGGAGCAGGGAGCAGGGGCTGCTGTCCATGTGGGCTCTGTACGGCCTCAGCCTGACAGCTGTGTGGGGCCCCTGCCTGCTGCGCCCCGGCCATAGTGGATGCTGTCACCACTGCTGATACAGGTCAGCATCCAGACTGGGAGCTCGGGAGGACCTGGGACACACAGGGCTTTGGAGCAGAACAGCTGGCTAGCAGGGGACAGACCGTCCCGGGCAATGGGAGAACAGCTACTTGCAAATCAAACCAGCCGCTGCCTGGGCCTCGGCTAGAGCGCTCGATCCCAGCTGACTGCCCCTGACCCGTTCCTAGCCACCAGGCACAGTTCTTTTTCTTTATTCTACAAGTCTTGGATTGATAAGTAAATCTCTTGGTAGAAATCCAGGTTTGCTGATGTCATGGTCACAAAGATGTCAAAGCCTTTCTAAAAGAAAGGAGCAAGCCAGGTGCACACCTGGACTCCCAGCACTGTGGGAGGCTGAGACAGGAGGATCACAAGTCCAGCCTAGGAAACAGCAATTCAGCCAATTCTCAAAATAAGAAATAAAAGAGCTGATGATGCAGCTCAGTGCAGAGGTCCTGGGTTCTATTCCCAGTACCTCAGAGAGGGGAACAAGACAAAAGGAGGCAACAGGAGCTCCCGAAGGCTTTGGGGGCCCCATGTGTGCCCCTACCCACTCTGCTGCCCACTTGGGGAAGGCTGAATCCTCAGCAAGCCCGTTGCCCTGTGTGTTTGGGGCTGAACCCGTGTGTCTTGCCGGGAGAGGGGACAGGCCAGTCCCGCAGCGGCCCTTGGCCCTGCCACACACAGCCAGTGCCTCTCTCCATCCCGGGGCCACGGGCGGGCGGGGCGCTGCGGCTCATTCCTGAAGCAGGTGTACGGCCTCCCCGAGGCCGACAGGTACGCACATGCGAGGCCGGCTGTACTCAGCTCTTTGAAGCCCTGCCCGGCGGAAAGCCGCGCTCCCGCTCTGATGGGCGCTGCTCCCTGTAGTCCCCTAGCCCCCCAGCTGTCTCAGAACAAGAAAGGGTGTTGACCACTGAAGCCATCAGCTCCACAGTGAGGTCCCCACCCCGCCTTACCTGTGCAGGGCTCCCAGCGCTGGGCACCGCGACCGGGGGTCACCAGGGGCATGAGCACCACACACAGGGTCAGTAGGGCAGACATGAGGGGTCCAGATCCCAAGCTCCATTCAGGGCACCGCTGGCCAGGGGCTGCTGCTCCTCAGACCCAACTCGCCCTCCGAGGCAGCCCTGGGCCCCGGGGGTCACTGCGACGGCCACATGCAGCAGCCTGGGAGGAGGACCGGCAGCTGCAGGTCAGGGCTGCAGCTTCAGGCTTATCTCCTGCTTTGCAGGTTTATCTCCGTGCCTCCCGAGGGGCTAGGGACCCGGCGTGCAGGTGGCAGCCAATAACAGTGTCGGCAGGGCTGGGATTAGTCATTGGCAGAGCGCATTTCCCAGAGGAAAGAGATGGGAGCTGAGAACAAACCAGAAACACTCAGAAAACCAGCTCTCCTGGGGTGCAGGCTCCCCTCTCTGCTGTCTGGGACTTGGCGCGGGCGAGCACGGCAGCCAGGGACTGCGGGACCCTGCTGCAGGACGGGTCCTCGTGCGCTGCTGGGTCTGAGGAGAAGCAGGTCCTTGCGCTGCGCTGCTGCGGGCTCCTCGGCTGGTGGCAGGTCCTCACGCCTTTGGGGGTCCAGGAAGCAGAAATGGGGCCTAGCCCTGCTGCGTCCCGCACGTCCGGGGAGAGCTGGGCTTCCGTGAAGGGCTTTTCATCTGGCACCCAGCCCTCGGAGGGCGTGTGGGTTTGTCAACTGTCGGGTTTCAGGAATTTCCCCGTGGAGGGAAGTCGGGCTTTTAAAGGGAACAGCTCCGTGGAGCGGGAAGAGTCCTCAGGAGGGCGCAGTGTTGGTCACTCCATCAAAGCCAGGCCGGCTCTCCAGCTGCAGTCACCATGAAACACTGCTCCAGGCAGAACAGCTGCTAAAGAGGAGTGTTCTTTAAAAAAAAAAGTGCTGCCTCCCTGCAGCTCGAAACAACCCTGTGCACAAACAGAGATCTGCAGGCAGCCGCCAGCTCTGGTGCAACCTTCCCTGGCTCCCTGGGACCCTCGCGGGGCCCTAAAAAGCATATCTTTCCTGGTTTTAGGGGGAGACCAGGACTCAGGTCCTTGGTACAGCCTGGCACGCGGCACAGAGCAGGACCCTGTGAGAGGCCTGCAGGAGGAAGAGGGACAGTGGGGTAGAGGACAGAGAGAGGGCCGGGAGGGGCAGGGAGAGGAGCTGTGGGACTCTGTGGCCAAAGCAGCCCCCTTGGAGGCCCCGTCTGTCTCGTTTCACGCCCTCCTCTCTCTGCCCCACAGACATTAAGCCATGGCTTCTGTCCTGGTTAGAAGGGTGAGGACAAGCTTTCAGAAACTAGTGTGAGACGAGGAGGCACCTACCACCCGCCCCTCACCTGGCCCAGGTGAGCTTTCAGTGCCCCTCACCCCGGGACGCGGAAGCTTCCTACCCCACATCCACTCCGCCATGACCCAGGGTGCCAGAAGGGAGACTGCCAGGTGACTCCCAGCCGCCCAGCCTGTGGGGATTCCCTGGGCTCCTCTCCTGGGCCAGGGCCCTGTCCAGCTGTGGTGAGGAGGGTGCGGAGGCTCCAGGACAGGAGGCAGGCTCTGCTCAGCATGGAGCGCAGCAAAGCAAGCCCCTGGGAGTCGGCATCTTTCCGCATCTACAGTGAGGTTCTGGGATCCCTGTGTCCCTGACGTGCAGGATGGAGTGACCTCCCCTGGAGCCAAACCTCAGTCCAGACTCTGCCTGGAGCAGGCTGAGGGTCCTCACGGGTATCAGGACCCCAGTCGGCAGGGAGCAGCCGGGTCCTCCGCTCAGAGAGGTCTCCCCAAGAACCCCTGGACACCCTGCAACCCAGTGCCAACCCAGTGCCGGCCGCCACTCACCTCAGCAGCTCAGGACAGCAGACACAGCCATGCCCAGGACGTGGGCTACCACGGCACATCGTGGCCTACAGGTAGGTCACCTGGCTGAGTTTCAGGGATAACTCTCAAAGCAAAGGCCTCCATCCCTAGCTGCTCCGCTCCTCCAGGCTGGGCACAGTTGTTTCTGCAAGAGACAGCAGAGGACTTGGAAATGGTAACCTTGCACTGCAACAATACGACTCCAACATCCAGTGAACTATCTGGTTGTGAGGCCTCTGAAGCTCCTGGCTTTTAGGAACCCTCAGGGATAGCCCATCATTTGCTGTTTAGAGCCCTGCCCCACCCTGCTCCTGGGGAGATTCTCCCAAGATTCCCATGGACACCCAAAGCCACAGACCCTACTGAACCCCACAGAGAGGACGTTTTCCCTATGCACACACCCACAGTAAAGTTTACCTTACAGAGCAGGCACAGTACGAGATTACCACCATAAGCAATAATAAAATAGAGCAGTTATAGCAATGCACTGTCGTAAAGTCCTGGGGACGCACTCTCCCCCGGGTAAGAGTCAAACAAACAGCATTTCCTACCTGTAGCCAGCCACAGGTCACCAAAACAGAAAAGCTGCAGGGAGGGGCTGCGGTGAGCCTGCCCCCGTGTGTGAGAAGCTCTCTGGAAAGAGGCAGGAGGAGACCGTGTCTGACAACAACTTCAAGGGACTCGAGCACCGGGCAGGCTGGAGGACACTGGCCCCCCTGCCACTGGCACTGGGCCACGGGGTCCACATACAGGGTGCCCGCTCCAGGGACTGCAGTTAGGGCTCCTGGGGCCATTCAGTCAGAGAAGGAAGAGAGATCCCTGTGTCTCGTGAGAGGGAACACTTGCTGATTCTCCTACTTTATACCAACAAGTGGAGGAAACAATTCCCAGTGGCCAGCACGGTCCTCTTAAATCGTATCTGGTAATCCCGCCATTAACACTCCAAATGGCCTCCTAGTCCACCGACGTAAAATGCACTCTTGAACATGAGCTCGTGTCTGCCTTGTGCTTCACCGCCCAGGCGTCTCACACCTCTCTGTCCCTTTCTTTCCTTTCCATTTTGAATGAGTGTATGTTTATAATGCATCCGAGTTATGTTCCTACTGAGGGTTGGTACAAACAAGTAACATATCTTGACATACGTGTAACATATCCTGACCATCTTGGAGCCCTTTACCTCTCTCCCTGCCTTCCCTCCTCTTCCCTCCCCCAACTCCCTTCTCCACCTCCAAAAAGTCTGCTTTTAACTCTATTTATAGTCTAGGTTTCTCATGTCAGAGAACTATGTGATATTTAACTTTCTGGGTCTGACTTATTTCATGTAACTTTATGGTCTTAAATTCCATCACCACACAGACCTTGACAAAATCCACCATCCTTTCAAAATAAAAAGACTGGCGAACATAAGTGTAGAAGAATCGTATGTCAAACTGATAAAAGCCATACGTGTCAAGGCCACAGCCAACATCACCAATTGGAGAGGGACCAAAAACTTGCCCAGGAAAATCAGGAACAAGATGAGGGTGTCCCCTGTCACTACTCCTGCTCAGTGTAGTACTTGAAACTTGAGCCACGGCAGTGAGGCAAAGGGAAGAAATGAAAAGGATACAAACAGAAAAACAAGAAGCCAAGCTATCTCTACTCAAAGACAGTCTGATGCGCCACAGAGAAGACTCCAGCAGGACTCTTGGCACTGATAAACAAACTCAGCAAAACAACAATTAATCCACTGAGAAAGAAATTAGGAAAACAATTCTACTCATTTGGGAAAAACGAGATAACTAGGAATGAACCTAACCAAGGAAGCAAAAGACCTGGGTAATTGAGCAGGACATGAGGAGATGGAACGGCAGCCCCATTCCTGCGCAGGAGAAACACCGTCAGCTTGGCCATGTTACCACAAGCAGGCAATAGATTTCCCGCAGTCCCCGTTAAAATATCAACAATATTCTTCGCATAACTCAGGGGAGAAAATCCTAAAATTCTCGTGGATCCAGAAGAGACCCAGAACAGCCAACGAAATCCTAGACAAGGGCCAAGCGGGAGGCCTCGCAACCCTGGATTTCAGGTGACCTCACAGAGATAAAGCGAAGAAAACAGCACAGGACAGACATGGAGACAGACGTGTGGCAGAAGAGAACAGAAGACACAGAAGCCGTGCACCTTCAGCCATCTGACAGACAAAGTGTCTAAAAGTACGCCTTGGAGAAGCTTCCTCCTTCCTGTCCGGGGAAGGGCCCTCGGGTACGGCGTCTGCTGGAAGATGGCTGCAAAACGTTTCCTCCCTACCACTGCCTCTCTCGGTGCTCTGCTTTATCTGACTGTTTTGCCAGATTTGTTTGTTTGTTTGTTTGTTTGTTTGTTTTTTTTTGAGACTGGGTCTCACTATCCAGTTGAGACTGACCTGGAGCTCACTATGTAGCCCAGGCTGGTCTCGAAACTCACAGTGATCCTCCTGCCTCAGCCTCCCGAGTGATGGGATTACAGGCGTGTGCCACCACGCTCGGCTCAGATATTTTTAATTTTTATTTAATCAAGAGCATTTTCAGGGCTGGGGATTTAGCTCAGCGGTTTGGTGGGCTGCCTTGCAAGCGCAAAGACCAGAGTTCAACCCCTGGTACCACCAAAAAAAAAAAAAAAAGAGCATTTTCCTTGAGACTTGTGGGTCTTGATCTGATTAATGGGCCTTCGCTCAAGATTCCTTTCTTGTCATCTTGCATCTGTATTTGGATCCTGTCCTAGTTGGGATGCAGGGAGTCAACACTGTCTCCAGAAGGCACGATGACCTGCCAAGCCCTCTGCCAGGGACGCCACCATCAGGAGGAAGAGGTGCCAGTCCCGGGGCATGCCACTCGTCTTAGGCTACATCTGTCAACAGTCTTGTCAATATTACATTATTTTGACAACAGTGTTTAATAGATAATAGAAGTATGCACTAATTTCCCTTTGTAAAAACATGTCGGCAATTCCCAGATACTCATCTTTCCATGGGAACTTTAAAAATTGTTGATCATGGGCTGAGGTAAAGCTCAGTGGTAGAGCACTTGCCTAGGACGCAGGAATCTCTGGGTTTGAATTAGTGCCCATGCCTGCCTCCCAAGTCAAAATCAAACAAGTAGAAAGCATCCTAGAAATACTTACTGGAATGGCAGTAAATTTGCAGATTATTAAAAGAATGATAGATATTTTTATAACATGAAGTACTCCCGTTTGGGAACATGATATTTCTTTTTGCTTATTCACATCTTAAACTAAGTTTATCAAAGAAATCTATAGTTTTGGCTATAGAGGTCCTGAACTATTTAAATAAAGTTATCCCTTTTGCAAACTGGGAGGGGACAGAAAGATGAAGGGAGGGGAAGGGAGGAGAAGGGAAGTAGAAAGATAAAGATGTGTTATTGGGCTGGGGATTTAGCTCAGTGGTTCTGCCACCTTCCTTGTAAGCGCAAAGTCCTGAGTTCAATCCCCAGTACAAAAAAAAAAAAAAAAAAAAGACATATTATACATGTAATCATGTAATGAGAAGTGTAACCATTATGTTCTGCAAGTATGGATGAATAAAAATTTTAAATAATAAAAAATAAGTTAGCCCCGTAGACATCCTACATAACTTGACCATTATCATGCGCACACTTCCTCCATCTCCACCTGGAAATGGTTATTGCTGACAAGAAGAAAATGTGTTCATTGTGTAGTTATCTTGTATCCAGAAACCCGAAATTGACAGAATCTAGAATCTCTTGCTTTTCTAGATATACGTGGCCTGTAAATAAACATCACGGTCACCTTCTGTTGTTGTGTGTAGACCAATTTATTTGTTCCTTAGTTTACTGTCTAAACTTGGAGCAATGAAATGGTTTTGGCTTTATTTTTGGTGCCAGGGATCGAACTCGGGACCTTGCATTTTCGAGGCAGGCAGTGGCAACGCTAAGCCAAATCCCTGGCCCTAAAACGGTTTTGAAACAGTGACAGGAGCAGGTTTCTTATTCCACGCTGATGGGGGATGGCTGTGGGATTCAGCGTTGTCATCACGGTAAAGAATTTTTCTTTTTTTCCTCTGTTACTTAGCAGCCGCTCCTGAATTTTCTCAAATGGTTTTAATGCCAGTTGCAATGATGTGATATCTTCAGTTTTAATTGGACCAGTGGAGTTAACCACAAATAGCTCTTTTTCCTCATGCGGAGCTGTCCTTCCATCCCACAGGAAGTCACACAGGGCCAGGGGCTTCGTCTGAACACTCACATTCACACACACACACACACACACACACACACACACACACACTCTTCTTTTCTTTTCAAGTTTATTGCCGAAGTGTTAAGATAACATTCTCTTAAAATAATGTTAATCTCTTTTCCATGTGATCTTATATTCTTTCAATGCTACATATTTTTCTGTCCTTTCTCCATAAGGTTTGCCATGAGATCAACTAAATGTTGGTTTTTTAATTCCTAAATTTTCCCTAAATGTATATTAAAGTCTCTTTTTACAATTATGTTTTACTAAGTTCTCAGATTTTTCTCCCTATCACCTGACATTTCTATTACTCTTATAGCTTTTTCTTTCCATTTTTGTCCATTGGGAAATTAGTAATGCTCTAAAGCTTGCTAGACTGATGGCCAATTTCACATATGAACGTGGCCAGGCCACAGGACCCAGGCATCAGGTCCAACATGCCAGGATGTTGCTGAAAAGCTACTTTTAAGGATAAGGTTAGCATTTAGACCAGCAGGCTTTGCATTAAAAGATGAACTTTCTTATGTGGGGCAGGGCTTATCCAGTCAGTTGAAGGCCTTAAGTAAAAGTCTGACCTCCCCAAGGAGTAAGGAATCCAGCCAAAAGTCAGCCTCAGGCTGAGGCTGCAACATCAGCTCTTCCTGGGCCAGCTATCCCACCATCACGAACCCATTTCTTTTGCCCTCTCTTCCTTCCATTTTTTTTCCTTTTGTTTATGTAACCCAAGGAGCACCCAGCTACATCCTCAGCCCTTTTCCTTTCCTTTTATTTAATTTTGAGACATAGTCTTTATATGTTTCCAAGGCTAACTTGAAACTTCTCTTTCTGTCCTTTTTTTTTTTTTTTT